TACACCCACTTCGGCGAACTTTCTTTAATATGATGAATAGATGAACCGACCTGACCCAAACAAGCACCACAAATCATTTAAGCTTAAGAAAGAAACTCGTGAAATGAGAGAAACGACCCTTTTCATGTTAAAACTTGTTTTGAAAGTTTTACCGTTTACAAGCTTCTTTCTTCTGTGAAAACAAATGTATAAGCATAAACCACTTTGGTTTACAGAATCCACCTAATCTGCTAATAAGTTTATTTAAAGAGCTCTCAAACTCTTCCTTTTTCGGTGGAGTTGGCACCCTACAGTCGATGGAAATCTCTAAAGCAAGCTGCACAGAAAGTTAACTTAACGTGCTGGTACTCAAACTCGAGCTCAAATAGTACCTGCTTACTAAAAAAATAATAGTCGAAGGGGGCAATTTTCAAAATAGAAAATCGTCACGAAAAGAGATGATTAAAAATGGAGAAAAGTATTTCATTAGTTCAACGCTTTCGAAACAAGCTTGCATCAGCCTTTTAAGGGTTTTCTTTTTAACAACTTAAAAATGAATGAAATGGAGTCTAGTTACTAGGTAGTGTCAGATCACTTCGTGCTCGGCTTATGCCGCGCTGACCGTGAGACTATAAAATTTAACGTCTTTTTCAAACTATCCCTCAAATTACAACTGAATAACGTTTTATTGCGTGTTCGTTCTGTTTTAAAAAAGTCAGAACAATCTGGGAGTCTAGGAAATAAATACGTGCTTGCCACAAAAACGCGATGGAAGAAGACCATTTTAAACTGAACGGAGCTGAACAAAAATGGCGACCACAAAATCTTGTCTTTCTTTGACACATTGTCGGCAGCGAAAAGAAGGATGGAATAAGATTGTCTTGGCTCATTTGGTTCTTGACCTGTTGCCTAGGCATCGATTTTTAATCCTAGGGGATTTCAATCCTTTTGTAGTAGTCAATTAATAATTAATTCATACTTTAAACCACTCGTATGATATTTTGACACTTCAGGTAATGAAAAAGACGTAAAAAATACCCTGGTACGCATTAAAAAGAGCCAACTTAGAAACCACACCCGAAAAGCTGATCCCTATAGCTCAACTTTTAAGAACTTACCGTTCCCTTGCGGTGACTTATTGAGCAGTAAAGGGTTGAAAGTCTCCTTGAAGAAACACAAATTCTAAACATGTCGGACACTGATGTCTTCTTGTTAGCGCCGATCCGTGACTGGTGACTGTTCCCTCGGGCGTCAGGTCTTTTGTTATAAAATTGGCGCGAGAAACAAACTACGTTTACTTGCATCGTGAATTTTTTTTTGCGAAGCATACTGTTTATCACTTTATCTTCCACTTTGTGTTCACCATGTCTGGTGTTGTTAAGGCTAGATCTCGATCCAGATCCAAGTCAAAATCGCGCTCGAGGTCACGGTCGAGATCAAGATCCAAAAGTCCCGCTGGAAAGATGGCGAAGAGCAGAAAACCAGCGAAGAAGGCGGCCCCTCGGCCTCCTGCAGTCCATCCTCCGTACATCGACATGATTACAGCGGCGATTGCAGCTATGAAGGAACGAGGTGGCTCGTCACGGCAAGCCATTGAAAAGTACATCAAAGCAAACAACCGAGTCACTGGAGATATATCAGTGCACCTTAAAATGGCTTTGAAGCGTGGCGTCAAGTCGGGAAAGCTACTTCACACCAAGGGAACTGGCGCTTCGGGATCTTTTAAAGTCGGCAAAGCTCCCGCTGCACCAAAGAAAAAACCTGCGAAGAAGAAGGCAGCGGCGAAAAAACCCCGAAAGAAGGCTGGCACGCCCAAAAAGAAGCGAGCTACCAAGAAGACTGGTGCTAAGAAAGCTGCGAAGAAGAAAACTACGGGAAAGAAGGCCAAGTCACCAGCCAAAAAGAAGGCCGCCAAGAAACCGAAGGCTAAGTCAGCTGCAAAGAAGCGCACAAAAAGTCCCAAGAAACGAGCAGCGCCCAAGAAGAAGGTAGCAAAGAAAACCAAAAAGGCTGCAGCCAAGAAGTAAAGAAGAACCTCAAAGAGAATAAAACAAAACGGCTTCTTTAGAAGCCACCAAATAAAAGAAAAGAAATGACCAACAATTTTTCTCCAAGTTCTGTTTTATTCCTTTTTCTCGTTTCGATCACAAGTTGTTGCGAAAATTCCTTTTACCTTCGAAGTTTTTGTTTGAACACAGAAGATTTCCTACCCAAATTGTTTTTTAATCAAATACACAATATAAACCGTTTTGCTCTAAGCTTTGCCCGCATCACGGTAACCATTTTGTATAGGAATTCAGTACTCGAAAGAAGCGGGACGGGGTTCGCGAAGTCTAGCACAGCCATTAGAAGCCCTTAGATACTTCCGTTCGACCGTTAGATGAACCCGGGGCACTTTCCTAGATCCATAGGTGGGGGCCGGGTAGCCTCCCTACCACTCCTTGAGGGGTTTTTGACGTAAATCCACATGACGAAAAAAAAACAACTTGATTTCTACTCGTGTACTTAAAACGCCTATGGAGAAAAATAATAATAACAAAAAAACAAAAACAAAAAAAACAGTTACTAGTTACGACGCTGCTAAATGCTGTCCTTTCTGTGACTAGCTCCTTAACAACTGTTTTCCCCTCTCCTACAGTGGCGGATCTAGGGGAGGGGTAAAAAAAGAAATCACAAAAGGAAGAAAAGCCGGCAGGGCAAGTAAAACAAAACCGCTCCCCACCCTCCTTGTTTGCTTAAGGTCTG